TATGAATATTCTAAATTAGCCAAAATTAATAAGAAAATACTTCTTCAAAATAATGTTTCATCTTTGCATTGTGAAATGGTTATTTGGAATATTTGTTTTCACACTGAATAAATAAGCTCATAATAGACATTAGATTTTTCTTAATATTTGAGTTTTAAAACATGCAACTGCAATAAAAGAGGAATTCGTTTTAAAAAATTGTTTTACTTCACCAAGGGTGTCAATAATTGTGGATAGCCCTTCTCTGTGCATACTGTGTATTTTTTGTGTCTAGGCAGTTTTCATATGCTTTCACTCACTTTGGAGCTAGAGAGCTTAAAAAAAAACAGAGTAGGTAGGTACCCTAATTCCTTAAATGCATTCAGAAGAAAAATCGTAAAATCTACACAAATCCTTGATCTGGAAACTGAAGAAAGCACTGATTATGATTACCCCAAATTAGCTTTTACAGTAGAAGATATTGCAACTTTGACGATGTTCACGAAATCCTGCCAAAACATAGAGAAAATTATCTGCTGAAAGTTGATTTCTACGTCTCTTATTTATTTTTTATTTGTTTAAACGAGCAAACACTTGAATAAATTTGATGCATTTTGATTGCAATAATACATCTTTGGTAGCTCGTGATTGCTTTCTAGTGCAAAAATAATTTTCAATAAAATCCAATTGATCGTTCACAGATTAAGTTCTGCCCCATGTGTCCTGACAAATAAAATACAGAAAACCGGCGGGCGTGCCAGCAGCTCAACAGTTGCTTGGATCCAATGGGAGCTTGTTGTTTTGAATATTTCATCTAGATGTGCAAGAAGCCAAGTCGATGTCAAGCTGCCGCGCTCTCCCACCGCTCTGCTGCCTTTTCACATTCCTGGCCTTCGGCACCAACATCAGTCACAATCCAAATACATTCTGTCAGCCGAGGTGATTGGTGACATTTCAGACAAAAACATCCTCAGCATATAATTGGAGAGCAGCGAAAACTAATTGACGCTGTCAGAGATAAAACCAGTGACCACTGGGAAATGTGACACTGAATGTAAAATGAAATCATTAGTTACACTTGAGCAGCCGCCTCAAAGGCAGCAGTTGGGAGAAAGAAAAGCAAACAGATAAATACAGACATATCTTTACCTCTTGTACATCTGAATGACCCAGACATGCACACTACTAGCTCACAGAGATAATTGCAATGAGCACAAGTGTTGTGTTACACTTGTGTATGATTCATAATTGGGGCGACTGTTGTTTACTATGGAGCTGCCTTCGCTACATCAACAATTAAGCTCTTTTGTAAAGCTTATACACAAATGACACCTGAATGCAAAGTGGCAGTATGTAATGAACCAGACAGATTACAAAGAATCCAGGAATAATTGATAATATATTGTAATCTAAGTATTTATCCAAGGTCATTCACATTTTAACAAATAAAAAAAAAACATTTATAGCTTTATATTATGTTATAAAGTTATTCCCTCATCAAACATATACCTGGAATGTTGCTTTGATTCTTTCATGCATGTTTGAGAAATTTTCCATGGGAACCATTCAGCAGTGCTAAACGCCTGGATGGACGTAGCTCCGCCTTTGAGGACAAAGTTCCTCCTACTCTCAGCTTCTTCAGACTAGCCAGAAGCAATTGGCAAACACTGGGTGGAACGGTATATCTGCTGAGTTCATTCTCAGTGCAACACTGGTAAAAACGTTGCTAAAGGGTTAATAGAGGAGCCATGTTGGGATGACATCCTCAAGGCAGAATTTCAGAAAGAGCAGGAGTTTTTAAAGAGACAAAGGCCCAATTTCAAGGCATAAAATTATGAAGTTAAATTTCTATTAAGTCACATTTGATACATGTAGGATTTTTTTAACAACTGAACGTAACATAGTGACTTGATTGTGCTATAAAATGGCACCATGTGCCTGGAAAATACATAATTCTCCTTTAAAAGCGTTTGGAAATTAATGTTCAACATACTTTGAGAAATAAGGATTCTCCTCTGCACTTTAATTATCTTCACACTGTCTGTTTACGAGGTCTTAATCAATAAAGTTTTCCAATTGCCCTTCCCTTCCCCAGTTATCTTGGCAGGTTTGCTCCCTGATGTTTGAAGGCTCTCCAAAGTCAGGTAATGTGGTGAATATTTAAATTGGTGTGCAGAAAAGGTTCTAATAAAACATTTTTTTTGACTACTTTTTATTTCCTCTTAAAGACTTGGGTATTTGATACATTTTGCAAGCAGTGACTCAAACAAGATGGTAGGAAAATAGATTCAATTTGTGTGTTTGACAGAGTACAATTTAAATACGCAACTTTTTCATGTTGGATGAGTAAAGCTAATATTCATAGTACAAGCAGCAAGGTCACCGTCAGCCTCGTCAGGGTGCTGGTTGCTGTTTGGAGTATTTCAGAGGTTTTCTTTGAAAATAAAACAACAAAGGCTTTCAAATGGATCTGTCTGAAGGACTTGTTTGTGTTTAAATAATACGTCCCTTCTGACAAGGAGAAATAACAACAACAAAAAAAAAAAGGTAAATACAAATCTGTCTCCTAAGCTTCTTGATGTTTTCTGGTTCCTGTTCATTATTCTGTGATTTAGAATGCATTCACACCAGCCCTGATTAGTCCACTTTAATCGAACTCTAGTTTGTTTGCCTAGGAAGTCTAGTCCAGATCAAAAAACCAAACTCTGATCTGGCTAAAATCCAAGGTTGTGGTTCGTTGAAGTGGACTCTGGTCCATAAATATGGATGTGAATGCCAAGTGGACGACACAAGGAGCACAGGTCGTCAACTCTAGAGAAAAAACATGAATTTTTTTGAAAAGCACAGAGTTACAAACTGACTCCGTGTTTTTGGGTGTTCATCTGTTAGCGGGGCTGCATGCTGATCCTGATTCTGACAGAAATATCATCAGGTTTGACCCAGTTCCTCATTCAGGAAACTGTTCTGGCACACTTCGCCAGATCTGGGGAAAGGACTGCGTTTCTAAAAGTGTCTTCTTTTTGCTTTTTAAATGTTTGGGAATTATGTGACATAAATAACTAGTTTGTCATGTAAAAACTTGACATTGTAGCAGGAGCTACAATGTCGCATTGTTCTCTCATCCTCTGTGAAAAGGCTGAGCATTTCATCGCGACCGCCCGCAGCTACGTGTCGGCTTGTTTTCTCCTTCCCGCGGCACGAGGCGGAGGGCGGATCATATTATCCTATTAAACGCTTGGAAGTTTGGATTTCCACATCAAATTGTTCACAAAAAAGCCTGTGGCAAAAACTGGTGTTTAAGATTTTTTTTTTTTGGTTTTGTACCCAAATTGAGACCCCAGCAAATTTTTATTTGCATTAAAATACATAAAAGATAACTTATTCCCATCCTGAAATAGTTTGTATGGCCTCCACCAACCTAGAAAAGCATTTACAGACAGGTACACCTCAGACAATTTGAATACTGGATAAAATGGTGATATTTCTGAGGCATAAAGTCAGAAAGTGACATTCGTAAATCAAGTCAAAATGCTAGTTTCATTCATAAAAATGCTGTTTATATCAAACATAACTCAAAAGAAATTTGACTTTGTAATTTGAGACCTTGAAATTGGGTGTCTGTTTCTTTGAGGAGCTCCTGCTCTTTCTGACGCTCCGCCTCCAGTGTGACATCACAACACTGCTTGTCATTATGACGTTTACAACCATTTTTAGGTGTTTGCTAATTGCTGCTGTTAGTCTGGAGGAGCTGAAAGGGGGAGTCACAGGGAAGGGGTGCACTGTGAGAGCAAACGTGAAGGCAGACCGACCCCAAATGGTTGCCACGGGAGATTCGAGGATTCCTCAGACATGAACGAATTAATGTGTTTTTGATGATGGAATAATGTTATAATATGGTGGATTTTATGTAATACTGCCTCTTTAAAATCAGCAAACAACTCAAGACTGAGATGGATGTTGACCTTCTCCCAGTTCTTCATCTTCTTAATCTCACCAACTTGAGCTACTCAAAGAAGAACGAGCAACAAATTCACTCTCTAGATGTGCAAAGCTTGTAGGATTTACAGATGAGTTCAATAAGTATGGATTCTAAAAGATACTGACAGAATGGCCTGATTACTAACACTTTGCAATTATTTACAGCCTCACAGTGGTTTCCCACATCAAAATATAAAAACAGCGACTAAATTAAAATCTCAGATTTCTTCATACCAGATCCAGTTTCTGATTTTAAATTATCCTTTTCTTGCTCGCTCTTTTTAAACAAAGACATTACAGAAACAATTTTTCAAGCAAGTTGTATGATGGAGTACTAGGCTACAAAGATTTATGTATATTATGAGAATATAGTCAACAATGTCAGAAAAACTCACAATTTTTCCATAAAAAAAACATCTTAAAATTACGAGACAAAACCAGTTATCAGTATCTGAGGTGAGCAGTTCAATCTGTGTCGTTCTGTCTTCAAAATGTTTGGATGATCGTTCCAAAGTTAGGCTGCTGATGATAATTTGACGCTGATGTGTTAAAAGTATTTCTATAAGCATTAAGTATTATCTGTATAACTTATACCAAAGTAAAAATGAACAAGATGCTCAACATTCCTCATTTACATCGTTTTTTCGTTGTTTGTATTTTTTGTGTTTGAGTCCTCGTAAAATTATGACTGTAATTTTAAAAAGATAAATCTTACACTGGCCCTTACACTCATCTTCCATTCAAGAGTCACAGAGTTGACTAGAACCGAAAGTCTAAATTAAGAAAAGTTGTAAAACCCGCTTCACGAAACAAGACTGTGCCCCAAGGAGTGCATTGGCCACAAGAAATACAGATCTTGCAAAAATGAAACCTTCAAAAACCCAAAATTGGATTGATTCACAAAATTCCCCTAAGAACACGCTTTGGGGATTCCCTATTTCTTCGGGAATATGAGTATTTTTGTAAGGTCCCACGTAAAGAAAAAAATAAAACCAGCTGTAAGTGACGTCAGGGTAAGCAACAGTGCTACTGATGCTACTCACTTGGACACCAGAGAGAAGGCTTCGGCGCACACGGCCGGACACGGCACCAGTTTGATCATCACATGCTCCTCGGCGGCCTGGAAATGCACCCGGGTCACCTTCTCCAGCACCGAGGCCAACGTGGCCACGTCGCCAGCCTTTGTGCTCGGGTCGCCGCCTGCCGTGTCCAAGATGTTTCCACCGTGTACCACCAGCAGCAGCACGTGGGTTTTACATTTCCTCTACAAAAGAAGGATGAGGAACAGGGAGAGATGCTACAAAAGCAAAGAATAAAAAAAAATAAAAAAAAGAGGAGAGAAGAAAACACTCACCTCTGCATCCTCCAAACCTTCAATGCTGCTCTGAGGGGCGCAGCGCGGACCGCCCAGCTGGTACAGACCCTCTGGATTGTGTAAAGAAAGATGAGTAAAGTAAAGAAGCAGGAGGTGGTGAGAAAGGAAGGAAGGAATAAAGAAGGGGAAAAAAACAGGGTCACTGGAGGAGCAACTTCACCCAGACACACCTATAACAGCGGCATAAGTGGATATCGATCGACGAATATACTCGATATTACTAATGCCTCTTCATCTCTCTTCATTTCGGCTCTGAACTGCATGCTGCCTCCATGTAGCCGCGGGCTGGCGTGGAGAAACCAGCAGATTCAGTCAGTTCAGGCTGTGGACAGCAGCAGCGTTATTGTTTTCTCTGCTGCAGCGTCTATTACCATCACACGTAATTACCTTTTAGCTGCTCTGATGCGATAAGAAGCAACAGACTTGTTCTCCTAAAGATAAAAAAACTTGATTTTTTTTTTTTATATAACAAAAAGGAGTGTCCCTTTATCTGTCTGGTGGGGGCATTACACAGGAATGTCAGCCAAACTCATTAGCCCATCCAAACCCTCAGCATGCTGTGTCATCTTATTCCTCAGCGCTCGCTCTCTCTCTCTCTCTCTGTCTCTGACTGTCTCTCTCTCTCTCATTTCTTTCTTTCTTTCTTTCTCTCTTTTTGTCTTTCTATTTTCTCTCTCTAGGATCAGGGCACGCCTCTGTGCTCTGCTCACTGGCTCGTTGTTTATTTGACCTCGTCTGGGACCGACTGTCATGGGAGGCTCTCACAGGCTCGTTCGCTGTCGGTTCCCCTTCTCTCCATTCCCAGCCTGCCAGTGCCCCCCCCCCACCGACCACCTGCTTGTCTGGAACAGAGAAGCGTCAACTAGGGACCCGACAGTGCGCTATTTCTGGTCACAGAGAAGCAGGAAATCAATGCAATGAAGTTTTCTTGTTTTGTTTTTCTTTTCGAAAGTGCTGCAGGAATGTATGTGTGGCAAGAAAGTTTTAAGAAATACCATGTGAGCAAGCAAACACTGATGTACAGGGGGAGAAAAACTGACATCAAGAATTTCAGAAGGTAGATGTGCTACCTACGCTAATTGATAGAAGCAAAAGTATAAATGTTGAGGTTGTTTGTGATGTCATTATGCCATATTTAAATTTACTTAGCTGAAATGATTGCTTATTCTGGTGATGTTATTTTGTGAGTTTTGACCCACTTTCCAAGAAGATAACTGCTTTTGTAAATCAGAAAATAGTTATAGTTAGCTTGTTAGCTAACTAACTTTAGCTTGATTCTTGTTTGGGGTTTTTTGGAGGGGGAGCTGACGGGTGGTGATTTATAGATTATGAGATTTGCATCTTGCTGGTCAGTTGTGTCATTTTCCATTCATGCATTTTATTCGTTATGATCCATAGGTGTTTGAACGAACACGAAGCATCAACATAGGGAAGAAATTAGATTTGAGTAACTTTAAACATTGGACAGTTGCTGCTTCCAGATGGGCTTGGTTTGAATATTTCTGAAACTGATAAATTCACACACAACCATCTCTTAGGTTTACAGAGAATTTTTATTTTTATTTTTTTTTAAAAGACAGAAAACCTACAAAGAGTAGTAGTTGTGATGGCAGAAAATGAATTGCTGATCACGTCGGAGGAGAACTGACAGACTAAATTGAAATTGCATAAAGGCAGCAGCTGTTCAAATAACTACTCAATACAACTGAGGTATGCAGAACCCCAGCTCTGAAAGCACAGCACATCAAACCTTGAAGCAGATGAGCTACAGCAGCAGGATGCCACACACTAGGTGGCGCTCCTCTCAGCTAAGAACAGAGAAATTAGGCTGCATTTCACACAGGCTTACCAAGACTAAGCAGTAATCAATCAATCAATCAAATTTTATTTGTATAGCACATTTCAGCAGCAAGGCATTTCAAAGTGCTTTACATAATTAAAATAAAAACAGCATGTGACATTGAATAAACATTGAGAAAGAGAAAGACATTTTGAAAAAGATTAAAAAAGATAAAAACATTAAAACCCGCACCCCTTTTAGGACTTCAGTTAAACGTCGTTTAACTGGGGCTCTAACCCTCTGGGACTTTAGTCAAAAACACCGTTTGACAAGGACTCCAACCTCTAGGTTTTTAGTTGAGACGCCATCAACTGGGACTCTAAACCCCGTAGGACTTTAGTTGAACGTTGTTTAACTGAGACGTTTTCCGGGGGGCTTTATATCATTAAAACGTAAACAGTGAGAAAGAGAAATAAAAAGAAATTAATAAATAGATAAAAACTAAAGATAAAACAAT